AATTATAAAGAACAAAAATGGATGAGGCAATACAGGCTGTTCTTAAGCAAATGCAAAAACAGCAGAAGCTGCAGCATGATGACATGCAAACACTGATGGAAAAATTACTCTCCAAAGAGCCTTCACAACTCGAAAGTAATGCATCCAGTTCAAGAAGAGGTCCGGCAAGCCCGGAATTCATCCTAGAAGCACTAGCGGTCAACATATCGGAATTTTGCTTCGATGCAGAAAACAACATAACCTTCGACACGTGGTTCGCACGCTACGAAGATCTATTTGCAATAGATGCAGCAAAGCTAGACGATGCCGCAAAAGTGAGACTACTGCTTCGAAAATTGAATACAGCCGCTCATAGTAAATATATTAATTATATTCTTCCCAATCATCCACGTGAATTTTCATTTGACTGCACTGTGCAAAAGCTAACCCAACTTTTTGGTAGTCAAAAATCAATTTTCAATGCACGGTTTAATTGTTTGCAAGTTACAAAAGATGCGAACATGGACTTTCTCACATACACAGGTATGGTGAACAAACACTGCGAGAAATTTAAGCTAAACGAGTTGACAGTGGATCAATTCAAATGTCTAGTATTCGTCATAAGTCTTAAGTCGGAAACAGATTTTGAAATACGAACAAAACTTTTAAGCAAAATCGATAGTGAGGCCAGTACTATCACTCTTGAAATCATATCAAGAGAATGCCAGCGCATAATTAATCTTAAGTCCGATACCGCTCTTGTTGAAAAACAAAATTTTGAAGTTCAACAAGTAAAGGCAGCTAAGAACACACAAAATATGAGAAGAACGCCAAACTCGCCATGTTGGTTCTGTGGTAGTATGCACTATGCTCGCAACTGTTCCTTCAAAAATCACAAATGCAAGAAATGTAATACAACCGGACACAAAGACGGATATTGTAAGGTGAAGAAGGTAAAACAGCACGAAAACAAGGGTGCATATACCAAGAAGAAATCCAACACCGATACTATGTCAAAAACTATCTTCGCAGTCAACAATATAAGCAGCAGAAAGTTCACAAAAGTCAACATCAACGGTATCGAAGTCCGCCTCCAACTCGATACGGGGTCTGATATAACTATCATATCCAAAGAGGTCTTGAAGAGGCTTCCAATTTCGAAAATGGATGAAGTGACCAGACAAGCACGCAGCGCAACAGGCGAGCTGCCACTGATAGCCCAATTCGAGTGCGACATCGAATTTCAAAATCGCAAGGCCATTACCACATGCTACGCAACGTCAGTAAAAAAACTTAATGTGATGGGTCTCGATTGGATAAGAGCTCTTCGATTAGACGATATGCCGATCAACGCCATCTGTCAAGCGATCGAAACAACAAATTATCCAAGACCCAGAATTAACGAAAACAAAGTAAAAGAAGTTTTTCCAGATCTTTTTGAGAACAAAATGGGGCTATATAACAAATCTACAGCCCACCTGTACATTAAGAAAGAGTAGACCAGTTTTTCGACCACCGCGACCAGTCGCATATGCCGTCAAACAATCCGTAGAGGTCGAAATAAACCGTCTGGTAGAAGATGGAATAATCTCACCAGTAAGTTACAGCGATTGGGCAGCTCCAATTGGTGTAGTCAGAAAAACAGATGGTAGGATACGCCTATGTGCAGACTTTTCCACAGGTCTAAACAATGCATTGGAAACACACAAATATCCACTTCCTCTGCCGGAGGACATTTTTTCGAAGTTATCAAACGCGAAAATATTTAGCCATATTGATTTGGCAGACGCTTTCCTACAAATTGCTGTAGATGATGAGTCAAAACATTTACTCACAATCAACACACAGTTGGGGTTGTTTCGTTACAATCGCATGGTTTTCGGGGTAAAAACATTTCCATCGATTTTCCAACAAATCATGGACCAAATGCTCGCCGGTTTAGAAGGTGTCACCGCGTATATCGACGACATTTTCGTTTCCGGGGCCACACAGGAAATACATGACACCAATCTCGAAAAAGTTTTACGCCGCATACAAGAACACGGATTTAAGCTTAAAATAGGAAAATGAAAGTTTTCACTTCAAGAAATAAAATATCTGGGGTACATTATCAACGAAGAGGGCTTGAAACCGAATGCAGAAAGAACGGCAGCGATTCGCGAAATGCCGGAACCAACAAACATTTCTGAACTTCGGTCATTTTTGGGTGCCGTAAACTTTTACGGCAAATTCGTGGACAAAATGCGCCTGTACCGGGGACCACTAGACGAGTTGCTGAAAATAAATACCAAATGGCAATGGAATAGTCAACATGCAAAATGTTTCACGCATCTTAAAGACATCCTGTCATCCGATTTATTGCTCGCACATTACGACCCAAATCAAAAGATAATAGTAGCAGCAGACGCGTCAAACTACGGACTGGGCGCTTGCATCATGCACGAGTATACAGATGGTACACAAAAACCAATTAGCCATGCATCAAAGTCCCTAACGGAAACAGAAAAAGGATACAGTCAAATTGAAAAAGAGGCATTAGCTTTAATATTTGCCGATACCAAATTCCACAAAATGATCTTCGGTCGTAGGTTCACACTACATACCGACCACAAACCACTTTTAGCGATCTTTGGGAAAAAGTCCGGTATTAATGCTCATCAAGCAAACCGTCTTCAAAGATGGGCTATAAAATTACTCGCATATGATTTCGACATTAGCTTCATCAACACAAAGAGTTTCGGTTATGCCGATGTTTTATCTCGCCTTATAAAAAACACGATAAGCGATTCAGAAGACTTCGTCATAGCTTCAATCAAAATAGAAAATGAGGTAAACTCGATTTTAACCGAAAACATAGGAAAAATGCCTATCACACATAAAATGTTACGATACGAAACTGCAAGAGATCCAGTCTTGAAAAATATTTTAGATTTTTTCAGAGGTGGATGGCCACAAAAACCCCCAGGAAATACAGACCTCAGACAATATTTTGCCCGAAAAGATTCTATTACCGTCACCAATGACTGTGTAATGGTAGGAAATCGGATCGCGATACCTAGAATCTACCAAAAGCGAATTCTAAAAGAACTTCGCCGGGGGCATCAAGGTATATGTCGATGATGGCAACCCTACAAATGTTGCAGAGCACGAATAGCGCTGTATTGTATCTGTATTTGAATGTCATTTATGTATTAATCTTATGTA